TAAGGGATAATGAGTGCCCAGGCCCTGAGTTCAAAACCCCCCAACCAACCAACCAAAAAAAAAAAAAAGAAGTGGTTGAGGGTATGAGGCTGATTAGAATACATTATCATTCTTGTGTGGAAATGTCACAGTGAAATCTTCCTGTACAACTGATGGGTTCTAATTATTATTTTGTAGTTGATTTGCTTTTGTGTATTGTTAACTTGAAAGTAATGTTCTCTCAGTCTTTTTTTCATGTGTGTCAATTGTGGGGCTTGAAGTCTGGGCCTGGACACTATTGCCGAGCTCTTCAGCTCAAGGGTAGTGCTCTACCACTTGAGCCATACAGCTGTTTCCGGTTTTTCTGGTGGTTAATTGGACATGAGTCTCACAGACTTTCCTGCCTGGGCTGGCTTTGAACTGTGATCCTTAAATCTCAACCTCCTGAGTAGCTAGGATTATAGACATGAACCACTGGCACCCAGCTTTTTCATGTTCCCCCTTCCCCCACAGAAGACATTACTGCTTTACATAATCAGTATTCATTGAGATTTATACACATATCTGACTTTTACATTGCTCTTTGTTCTTTCTTAATTTTTATGCTTCCATCCTGGATTCTTTTCCTTCTGCCTGAAGAACATCTTTTAGCAGTTGGAGGCTGGGGGTAGAGGAATCTTAAAATGTCTTCATTTTGTTCATTTTGGAAGGATATTTTCACATAAAATAACAATTGGTGGTTATTTTCAGTACTTTGATGATTTAAAATTTTCATTGTTTCTGTTAAGTAGTTGACTGTCATTCTAATTTCTGTTCTTTAAAGGTAATAACATATTTTTGGTTTGGATTTTTCTCTTTGTCTTTTTTTTAATAAAGCAGTGTTACTGACGTGTAGTTTCTGTCATTATGTTTTTTTTTTTATCAGTTTGGAATTATTTTAGTCATTATTATTTAGCTAATCTTGGGGCTTGAGCTCATGGTGGGGTGTTGTCTCCAAGCTTCTTTTGCTCAAAGCACTCTATCACTTGAGCCACAGAGCCATTTCCACCTTTTTTCTGTTTAGTTTATTGGAGATAAGAGTCTCAGAGCCTTTCCTGCCTGGACCACAATCCTCCAAATCTCAGCTTCCTGAGTAGCTAGGATTACATGTGTGAGCCACTAGTGCCTGGTCAGACATTATTTTTAAATAGTACTTCTTACCCACTTTTTTTCCCTTACGTAAGTTCAGTTGTAAACATTTAATTTTCGCACATATTTACTTGAACTTTTCGTTTTTTATTTATATTTTTTTGTTGGCCATAGGGCTTGAACCTGGGTCCTAAGCACTGTCCCTGAGCTCTTTCTGCTCAAGGCTAGCGCTCTACCAATTACAGCCAGTGTCACTTCCTATTTTCTTGTAATGGATTGGAGATAAGAGGCTCACAACTTTCCTGTTCAGGCTGGCCTTGAACCTCAATCCTTAGATCTCAACCTCCCAAGTAGCTAAGATTACAAGTGTGAGCCACTAGCACCAAGCATTTTCTTATTCTTCTCTTCCTTTCATGACTTTATATTTTAGTCCTGCTATTTTCTGTTAACCTGCTTTCTGGCATAGCAGTCTGGGTTGTCTAGAGTTCTCCAGCTTGTCTTCCTTCTTAGTTATATTATAACTTCCTGGAAATAAATTGTAGACTTTATAATATATACCTATAATATTATATAATATATGGTCCATATTCAAATTTCTCTAATTGCCTCAGCTGTAGGCAGGTGCTCTACCACGTGAGCTATGCCCGTAGCCCTATGCTTTGTTTTTAAAGTTGTAGCTTTTAAAAGTTCATGGTGGCTCATACTATTGTCCCAGCTATTCTGTAGACAGAGACAGGAAGATGGTGAGTTCAAGGCCAGCCTGGGTTACTTAAAAAGACTAATTTCAATTTCACAGACTGTAGTTATTTTTCTCACACAACAACTTATGTGAGAAAAAATAACGTCTGTGAAATACTCATTTGAATTAATGTATCTTCTCTGCTATTTTATGAAGTAAAAAGATTGAAATGTAAGACTGTTGAGACCAATATGAAATAAATGTGCTTATTTATGGGTATATTAAAACACCTCCCAGACTCAATTCTCAGGGTTAATAAAGCTTATTTAAGTGTGAAAAAAGTAGAAGCAGCTATCTTAGAGATAATGGTTAGAAGTTATATAGTAACATTTTTGTTTTTTAAAAAAAAACTTTTGGGATATTTTTTCTTCATGCCTTCCCCCTACGCTTCATGTTTCTATCCTTCAAGATTATGTGTTTGGTTCAATAGCTGGTTCTCAGGCCTTCAGTAAAATGAGTCAGATTAGGCAATACTTCAGTTGAATAGGGCCTCTATAAGACTGTAGTTTGATATATTGCTGAATCAATGGGTAATTTTGCTTGTCAGATTTTTCCTCCATTGTATTTGGTCTGCTTACATAATGAAGTTGTGTGCCATTAAAGTTACTTTGAAAAGAAGTATTCTTTAAGATACCTCTGATTTACTTTCAGGTCCATGCGTGGGAGATTTCTGACCAATTGTTACAGATCCGACAGGATGTGGAATCATGCTATTTTGCTGCACAGACCATGAAAATGAAGATTCAGACCTCATTTTATGAGCTCCCTACAGACTCTCATGCTTCTTTACGGGACTCATTGCTAACCCATATCCAGAACTTGAAAGACTTGTCACCTGTTATTGTAACACAGGTAAATCTTGTATTTCTCTTAGGGAAAATTTCTAAGGCCATTTGAATTTTCACCTTTATTTGGATTAATGTCATAAGGTCATATAAGGTAATGTTATCATAGATAGATTGTTATATTCTTGAAAGTGTTGCAAAGTGAGCTGATGGCTCATGCCTGTAATCCTAGCTACTCAGGGAGGCTGAGGTATAAGGTATAAGTTTGAGGCCAGCCAGGGCAGACAAATCTGAGAGACTCTTATCTCCAGTTAACCAGCAAAAAGCCCTAAGTAGAAGTGTGGCTCAAGTGATAGGACATTAGCCTTGAGTGAAAAATGCAAAGAGAATGAATGTCTTGTCCCTGAGTTCAAGCCCTGTACCAACACATCAACAAAAGGCATCAAAGTGAAAAATTTAATTTTATTCACTTGGGCCAAGATATCTTTTCTGCTGTTTTATGATATACTACAGATGGAACTGCGAGCCTGCTGAGATCAGTATGAAATAAGTATTCCTATTTATAGGTATATGAAAACAGATATAATTCTCAGAATGAACAAAACTCATTTAAGTGGGGAAAAAGTGTTTATTAGGTTTCAAACTAACCTCAAAAGACTGAAAGGTAGGAAGAAGGTCAGTGAATTTTTTCACTGGGATGTATGTAATTTCTACACCTCTGCTATTAAAATTGCAGATGACAAATTTTTATACTATTCTGAGTCAGCAGTCTATATAGCTACCTTTTTAAAACATTCTGTCTGGGCAGATTGGCTAATGAAGCTTCATGTATAAAGCAGTGAACTAGAACAAGGATTTTTACCCCTTTAGACATGGAAATATATTAGAAAGGAAAACAGGAGGCCTCTATGAATACATAAATGTGTTCTTTGCCTGGCATAGAAATGTCCCTGCAAAGGAGACTTTTGCATTAAGGATTCAGGATGAGAAATAGAAAGAAAAGGGAAAGGATAATTCATTATTTCAGAACTGAGTCAGTCAACAACTTTGACCTTTTAGCAAAGTATAATTTATCTATAAGTTCATGAAATTATTTGGTACTGGCAAATAAAAATAAATATTAGGGCTTGGTACTTGGCACTCTGACTTATGCCTGTCATCTTAGCTAGGAGGTGTAAATAGGAGATCATGGTCTAAAATAAGGGGTTGGAGGCATGGCTTATTGACAGAGTGTCAGGCAGTGAGCGAAAGCATCAGGTACCGAGTTTGAGTTCCAGTCTTGGGCAGAAATTAAAAATGGGAAAAGGCATGGTCTAGGATGGCCCATGCCAACAAACATGTCAAAACCTTGAAAAACAAAGCAATAAGAGCTGGCTCTTATTGGCTCAAGTGATAGAGCACTTACCTACTTTGCAAGTGTGAGTCTCCTGAGTTCAAACTCTAGTACCATCAAAAGAGGTCAAGTTATTTTCTAAGAAAAATCTGTACTCTTATCATTTTTACTAGGTTTATTTTTGTAATTAGTATTATTTTGTTTTGCTTTCCATTTTAGAGATTAATCTTCAATCTCACAATTTGTAGGTAACCTGGAAGAGTTTTCATGGGAGATAGTTGTAGAGATATGGGAAAGAAAAAGATAAGGGAGGAGATAATCTTAATTGAAGAAATTCAGGGGGCTGGGAAAGTGGCTCAGTGGTAGATTGCTTGCCTTGCATGCATGAGGCCCTGGGTTCGATTCCTCAGCACCACATACACAGAAAAAGCCAGAAGTGGGCGCTTTGGCTCAAGTGGTAGAACACTAGCCTTGAGCTGAAGAGCTCAGGGACTGTGCCCAGGCCCAGAGTTCAAGCTCCACAACCAGCAAAAAAAAAAAAAAAAAGAAAAAAAGAAATTCAGTTCATTTTCCAGTTAGCATTGGTGGAATCCGTTTTTTGTTCATCTGTTCTGTTGGTTATTCACTCTCTCTTCTTATTCAGCTGGCTTTAGCAATAGCAGACCTTGCCCTACAGATGCCTTCCTGGAAAGGGTGTGTACAAACATTGGTGGAAAAGTAAGTCATTTCTGTTGGAAGTATATTAGAACTCGGAATTACCATTAAGCTACACAGAGACATTTGTTAGCGTAGCTATACATCTGATTATTTCCCTTACCTGTTAACATAGAGCCATATATTACTAACTTTTGTTAAAGAAAATCACTTACTATTGGAATACTACAAAAATACATCATGTAGGATAAAAAAGGAAATACATCATGTGAGATATAAAAAACCCTCATAATTTATATACTCTTCCCCCCCACCTCTTAAATTAATGATAGTAAAGTCTTTCATTATCTTTGTATTACACCTACTAACTGGCATCAGAAATTTTGTAAAACTATTACTGTATTTAAGATTATGTTAAATTGAAGGTTGTTGTTGGGGTTTCTTTTGTGTCTGTCATAGAAAATAATTCTTTTCAGGTACAGAGAGCCTGCCAATTTGCATAAAGAATTTTCTTATGGGTATTCATTTATTTTAAATGGCTGAAACTTAACCCAGGACTTTATGCTATGCAGATGTTATATTGCTGTGCTATAATATCCACCCTTAGATAACCTTTGTATTTGCTTGCATTTGGCATTTGGTTGGGAATTTATTTATTTATTTTGCTAGTACTATAAGGCTTGAACACAGTCCCTGGGTACTGTCCTTTAGCCTTTTTGCTTAATGCTGGTGCTCTACTTGTGGCTTTTTAGTAGTTAATTGGAGGTAAGAGACTCAGAGACTTGTGCCTAAGCTGGTTTCAAACCATGATCCTCCGATCTCAGCCTCTTGAGTAGCTAGGATTATATTGTGTGAGCTACTGGTTCCTAGCTGGGATATTTATTACTATTTTTTAAAATTAAAGTAGATATCTTAAAAAAAATCTCCAAATAGAGTATGGCTTAAAATACTTAGATGGATAATTTATTTTTTAGGAAAATTTTTATTAAGGCTGGGAAGGTGGCTCAGTGGTAGAGCGCTTGCCTTGCATGTCTGAGGCCCTGGGTTCGATTCCTCAGCACCACATAAGCAAAAAGAAAAAGCTGGAAGTGGCACTGTGGCTCAAGTGGTAGAGCGCTAGCCTTGAGCTGAAGAGCTGAGGGACAGTGCCCAGGCCCAGAGTTCAGGCCCCA